TTCAAGGGCGACTTCCGCATCACCTCCCCTAGAGACGAGTGGGTCTTTGCTGACATGGACCTGCTTCACCGCGTGGTGGCACCTGGGGTTCGCATGGCCCTCAAGCTTCATCAGGTGGGGAGCAGTGTGCCAGGCAGGGCGAGGGGCGCTGCCTCGGGACGGTGACCGCCAACCGGGCCGCCCTGCCCTCCCCCCCAGGACCACTTCACGTCCCCGGATGAGTACGAGGAGCCGGCCGCCCTGTACGATGCCATCGCGGCCAACGAGGAGCGACTGGTCATCTCGCACGAGGGGGACCCGGCCTGGCGCAGCGCCATCCTCGGCAACACGCCCTCCCTGCTGGCGCTGCGCCACGTCCTGGACGACGCCTCAGACGAGTACAAGATCATCATGCTCAACCGGCGCCACCTCAGCTTCCGAGTCATCAAGGTGGGGCGCCCCCTCCCCGCCCCGGCCCCCTCCGCGGAGCTGCCCCTGATGCCCCGGCCGCCCGCAGGTGAACCGGGAGTGCGTGCGCGGCCTGTGGGCGGGCCAGCAGCAGGAGCTGGTGTTCCTGCGCAACCGCAACCCCGAGCGCGGCAGCATCCAGAACGCCAAGCAGGCGCTGCGCAACATGATCAACTCCTCCTGCGACCAGCCGCTGGGCTACCCCATCTACGTGTCGCCCCTCACCACCTCGCTGGCCGGCAGCCACCCCCAGCTGCGGGCGCTGTGGGGTGGCCCGGTCAGCCTGGGCGCCATCGCCCGATGGCTTCTGCACAGCTGGGAGAGGTGAGCTGGCCGGGCAGGGGCGGGTCCTCGGGGCAGGCACCACGGCTCCGGGAGATGGGCAGTGGGGTCTGGCCTACCGCCGGCCTTCCCGAGGGCCGAAGGCGCTCTGCCCTTAAGTGCCACTGGCGAAGCCGCCCCTGACAGGGCCTGTGACGCAGGCAGCCAGCCCTCGTGGGACAGGACCGGGGCTCCCGCCTGAGCTGATGGGTCCTGGGCCCCGGGGCCTCCCTGCTGCCTCCAGGCTTCATAAAGGCTGCGGCGCCGGCTGCAACAGCGGCGGGAACGTGGATGACTCAGACTGTGGTGGCGGTGGCGGCGTGACTTCCCTCAGCAATAACCCCCCCTTGGCACACCCCATGCCTGAGAACACAGCAGGTGAGCGGGTCGAGGCTGCGCGGAACCAGCAGGCAAGGACAGCTTAGTGACAGACCTCACAGGCCAAGGCCTCTGCTCTCTTATCTGTCTCCACAGGCGGTGGCGACCAGCCCCTCCCACCAGTCCCTGGGTGGGGCCCTCGGCCCTCCCTGAGCGGCTCTGGGGATGGTCGCCCCCCTCCTCTGCTGCAGTGGCCACCCCCTCGGCTCCCTGGACCACCCGCTTCACCTGCCCCTACCGAGGTTCCCCGACCCTCAAGGCCCCCTGGCCCTGGTCTCCTCAGTTCTGAGGGTCCCAGTGGGAAATGGAGCCTGGGGGGTCGGAAGGGGCTAGGGGGATCTGAAGGGGAGCCAGCCTCAGGGAGCCCGAAAGGAGGCACTCCCAAATCTCAGGTAAGGGTCCTGTGGGGAGGGCCAGGTCCCGGGCAGTCCAGATCTGCTCTCCTACCAACCTCTGTCCTGCCCCAGGCACCTCTGGACCTCAGCCTCAGCCCGGATATCAGCACTGACTCCTCGCCACCCAGAGCAGCCCCGGATGTCCCTTGCTTGGACAGCAGTGCTCCGGAAAGTGGCACGCCCACTGGGACCCTGGGCGACTGGCCTGTCCCTGCTGAGGAGCGAGAGAGCCCGGCCGCACAGCCCCTGCTGGAGCACCAGTACTGAACGGCCCCGCGACCTCTGGATCCCAGCCCAGGATTCGTAACTTGGACCCCTGGCCTTTGGCCCTCTCTGCTGGACCACAGAACTGAGTGGCTTTGAACCCTGACCTCTGGCTGCCTTAGCCAGAGCAGCAGAACTTAGTGGCCCAGACCTCTGACCTTGACCCCTGAGCTCGCAGCCCTCGTGCGGGCTGTGGAGTCCCCAGACGGAGGCAGCAGCTTCCCAGCCAGGCCCTGGAAACCAGACCCAAGGGCTGGTCCTGCTTCAAGCCGGGGGCCAGGACTGACTTGGCTCCCGGGCCTGCACTGCCTCTGAGGACGGCCTCGCCTGGACCTGGGCTGAAATGTGGGAAGGTGGTTTCTTTTCTTTCCTTTTCTTTTTCTTTCTTTCTTCTTTTTTTTTGTGCTTCGGAGACACCAGAATTAATAACACTATTTTTGATTTTGGCTGGCAGCGTCTTCTTTCTGGGAATGTTTGGGTGGCGGGCAGACAGGTGGCAGGCCAGAGCGGGATGAGGACGCGGCCAGGAGTGTCAGACTAAGGTGGCCTTCAGAACAGGCCCCCTTCCTCAGGCACTATTCTTCAAGCCTGGATCTCACTTCCTTAATGCCAAAGACTTCCAGCCGCACTGGCTGGCCCCTGCAGTTGTCACCCTTAACTTTCTGAACTTCAGTTTCTCCATCTACAAAGAGCGGCACCCCCACACCCCCCACCCCCGCCCCAGGGTGTGTTAAGCAGACAGCAGGGGGGGGCCTGCTTCGCGCAGGCTCGAGCGTTTCCTGAGCCCCGGTGGCTGGCCGCAGGAGTCAGTGTGCCCTGGGCTTCTCAGCCAAGGGCTGGAGGTCGGGCAGCCGGCTGGGCTGGGCTGGGCCCGCTTGGGGTTAGGCTAGTGGGGTGATCGCGGCTGGCCCAAACCCCCACCCTC